TAGATTAATTGTTACAGGTAAGACATCTTGCCCTTATTAATTTCAAATAAAATTTAAGTTAATTCGAATCTCGCTATATGCTGGAAACCTCTAAAACCTTAAATACTAGTAATTCTTTAATTCTTTAATTCTTTAATTCTTTAATTGTTTAATTAACAGTAACAAATTTAAGGATATTACAATGAGCAATCAGCAGGAAACCAAAGGACTAAAAATAATCCTAGTAGGATCCTCAGAGACTACACGCGTGAAATCTTTTCTTAAAGATTAAGATATAGTCCAAGTATATATTATTAATAAGTAGGGTACCAGAACACAAATGAATGTATTCTTAAGTAAAAGTCCACATTCTCAAATAGGAACACATCCCATTGGGGTAAATCAAGGCTCAACCTGTAAAATTTTAGTACTTTATGGTTAAAAATTTAGGCTCAATATTAGATATTGCAGGTTTTCAAAAACATTACAAAGTTTAATATTTTGTACTCAGATGGCTATTCTGTTAGTATCCGAAGGGGCTAAACTATTATCTATGTTAGAAAAATATAGTCTAACACTAGACTAAAATTTAAACAATCAGTTAAACAATCTTATTCTGTGCTTAACACCTTTTGTGTTCCTATCACATTATTGTTCTAGTTTACCGTTTTAACTTAATCTAAATGTAAAGGAAATATTCATTATGTCTTAGCATTTTCTACTAGATATTTTGTCTCCGTTGTTATATAAATTTTCCCTTTCACATTAGTAAAATTTTAAATGGTTAATAATATTTATTTGGCAGATGTAATTCATGATTATGCTGTACCTTCTTTAGGTCTAAAAATAGATGCCTGCCCTGGTAGATTAAATCAAGCTTCTTTATTAACAGAAAGAACAGGGGTATTTTACGGGCAATGTTCAGAATTGTGTGGGGTGTATCATGGATTCATGCCAACAGCTGTAGAATCAGTATCCGTATCAGACTACCTATCTTGGCTAAGCTCTTTGTAGTGGTAACCCCTCAAATTAACCCTTTAAATAAAAGTCTTTTATCTGAAAAACCTTTAAACCCTAATTGGGTAACAGGATTCACTGATGCCGAGGGGTCATTTATAAGCTCTGTTTACAAAAGAAAAGGCGCAAAAGGTTATACAGTCAGACCTTTGTTTGAAATAGGCCTACATTCCAAAGATGTAGCAATATTATATAAAATCAAAGAATTCTTTGGTTGTGGTAATGTAAACATTAGACAAACTAGAGATGCAGCTAGTTTTAGCGTAAACAGTATCAGTGATTTAAAAACTAAAATAATACCTCATTTTAAAAAATATTCCTTACTAACTCAGAAAAAAGTAGACTTTGATCTTTGGGTTAAAATAGTTAACTTAATAGAAAACAAAGAACATTTAACCATTGAAGGTGTAAATAAAATACTAGAACTAAAATCCGCTTTAAATAGAGGTTTATCTAAATCTACAGCTGAACTTACAAATGTAAAAGCATTAGATAGACCGTTATTCCTAGTTAGCTCATTCAAACGTATAAAACCAATGTGGCTATCAGGTTTTACTGATGGAGATGGTTCCTTTTCAATAAAATTAACTACTAGAAAAAATAATAAAATTCAAGTAGGGTTGCACTTTAGACTAACTCAACATATTAGAGATTTAAATTTATTAAAGTTAATAACAGAATATTTAGGTTGTGGTAAAGTTTACATTAAATCAAACGGTTTAGCCTGTGAATTAGAGGTACATAATTTCCCTGATAATATGGATAAAATAATTCCGTTCTTTACAAAATACCCCCTTGAGACTGAAAAACTAAAAAACTTTAAAGATTTTACTTTAGTTGCTGAATGAATTAAAAATAGGGATCATTTAACACCGGAAGGTTTAGCTAAAATAATAGAAATAAAATCCAACATGAATATGAATAGAACTAAATAAAGCGGCCTTTACCATGGGTTTATGCCCACTGCAATAGAATCTGTATCTGTGTCTGATTATTTAACTATGTTAAACCTATTTGAAAGTGGAACCCTTGTATCTTTATTTACTTTCCCTAATAAAAACTCTAAAACTACAGTTAAACCCTTTCAAACTAAAATCTTAGGTGCAAAATCTAACTCTACTAAATACAAATGTTAAACTTTTAGAGAGACCTTTACATTTAGTTAGCTCATTCAAACGTATAAAATCCATGTGCTAGTTGGCTTTACAGACGGAGAAGGTTCCTTTAACCTTAGATTTATCAAAAGAGCTACAGGGAGAAACCAAATTGATGTTAGATTCAGACTAACTCAACATATTAGAGATTTAAATTTATTAACTTTAATAACAGAATACCTAGGCTGTGGTAAAATCTACATGATGTCTTTGGCTAATAGTTTAGAAGTATTCTCCTATTCAGTTATTAGAACTAAAATAGCTCCATTCTTTACAAAATACCCCCTTGAGACTGAAAAAGCAAAAGACTTTATTTATTTTAGTCAGGGAGTTGAAATAGTTCAAATAGTTGAAATAGTTGAAATAGTTAAAATAGAAATCATCTAACTATTGAAGGTTTAAATAAATTCAATAAATTAATATCCGACATAGATTTAACTAAATAAACGGCATTTATCGAGGGTTTATGCCTACTGCTGTAGAATCAGTATCTTATCAGACTATTTAACTATGTTAAGTGTACTCAAAGCCCTCTTTTCTTAGTTTCGACTGTTAAAATAGAATTAACTCCTTTTCTACTAGACGAAAACTCCTTTAGATCCTGCTGGTTTATTAAAAATCTTGCACTAAAAATCAGCTCTTAATTGGGGACTATCTAAATCTACAGTTGAGTTTAAAATGTTAAAGCGTTAGAAAGACCACTGCACCAAGTTCAAAGTTAAAAAAGCTAAATCCTATGTGAATAGTTGGCTTTACAGACGGGGATGAAGTTTTGGTGTCCAAATAGCAAAGCACGTAACGACAGATACCAAATTAGACCCAGATTTAGACTAATTCAACACATAAGATATTCTCATTTATTAACCTTAATAACATAATATCTAGGTTGTGGTATAGTTGTAAATCACGAAGCTGCTAAGCAATGTCTTAATCATATAGAATGGTTAGTAAAACTTGTAAAAGTGCCTACTGTGAGTTTGTGGATGCTAAATAAAAAGAATTAGCGTATAAACAAGGTGTGATCGATAGAATTAAAGACATGATAAAACCTAATATTGTTGTTGATAACCCTTCAATGATGGGTACTAAATTAGGTAATAACTGGACAAGACTAAAAAATTATAAAGATTTAGTTTACACTTATGATAAATTACAATATTATAAACTATGGGCTTCCGAAAACTTTAAATAAGTTTTATTTTAGTGTTTTGGTGCTGCTTTTTCAATAGAGTCTTAGCTGATGTTGTAACTCACCCTTCAGATACACCCTTGGGAAGGGAAGTATTAAAAAGTATAGGAACAGGACCATGGGCCGTGGGTGCATTTTTTATTAAAAGCCCTAGGTGTTTCAAAATATACCGTTTTATCTGTTAAAAATCTACCATTGGTTTAACTCTAGTCGAGTTCTCTACCTGAACCTTTAGTACTTGAAGATTACCCTTTTCCTCTTTGGCCTACATATTTGGAAACAAGGTTACTAGATAACTTCCACAGATGTATACAAGCATTTAAAAATGAATATGATGTTAGACCTGATGAAGTAGGAACAGTAGTAGGAAGATGAACAATACAACCAATTACTTTCTTTACCTCCAACACCTACATTTAACCTAAAGACCCTGATGATGATGATGGAATGGAAAGCATAGACTTACACCACAGCCTCATAACCCTGTAGGGGCATTGCCTGTTCCTCAGGAACCATTAACATTTAGTTGTGCTTATGGTCAACTTGACCCGTTCGATGCGTACAATCCTTATGATACATAAACTGCGGTATTGTGGGCTTAGGTTTCAGATGCTGTTGCTCCATCTAGAGCTGGCCCTACTTCCCAAAAAGGGCTTCTACTTCTGCTATTTAAATCTGCTTCTTCTCCTGAAGGTACTGGATCAGTTGGTACCTCTTCTTCAGGTAAAACAACAACCTTAGAGATTTTTCAAGCACAAGTTAAATATACTTCTTTAATGTAAAGATTATGTGATCCGCACGGTCTGTTAAAAAGTACTGTCTTTTAAAAATATAACTTATTAAGCTAATGTCGTAAAATCTGTGTAGAAGCTAAACTAAATAATAATTATTAAAAATAAAAAAGTCTCGGGGTAAATCACGGGTTTCTGCCTACTCTTGTGGAATCAGTGCCTGTATCAGATTACTTCTCCTGGCTAAGCTCTTTGTAGTTTCCAATCCAAATTCAAATAAAAGACTTTTATTTTAATAACACAAACTCTTATTCTTTAACTATTACTGTATAACTGTGTATCACTGATGGTGAGGGTTCCTTTATAGTTACTGTTTTCAAAAGAAAAGATGCTAAAAACTTTACTGTGAACGCTTCCTTTGAGTTAGGTTTACATTCCAAAGATATAGCCACTTTATATAGCCTTAACAAAAAAAGAGTAGATTTTGATCTATGGGTTAAAATAGTTAATTTAATTAAAGATAAAAAAACATTTAACCATTGAAGGTCTAGCTCAAATCTTCCACTTAAAATCCGCTCTATGTACCCCCTGTCCCTTTGTGCTCTGTCCCGGGTGGCTCCAGGACCTTTAGAAGTTTTTATTAAAAAAAAAGAATAATAAATTTATAAAAGAGGTACTATTTCATATTTTTGTTTAAAGTCTTTAACTTTAAATGATAAGGGCAGGTGATCCGATTGGTAATGGTGGTTCTCTGTAAAAGAATTGGTTTTATACCGTAAAGGGTTCGATTCCTTTACTGCTCAACAAAGACTGTAGCATAATCGGTTAATGCAACTCGCTCATAATGGGTTTTATAAGGGTTCAATTCCCTTCGGTCTTAGTACAATTTGTGTGTATTTACTAAAGTAAAGTAAAACCGATGCGAGCTACATGGTAGATGACAAACTGGCCCGTCGCTCCCTTTGGGTGGGAGAGCTAGCGTGTTCGAGTCGCGCCTACCATATTAAACTTAGAAAATACCGGGTGTCATGGCAGAGTGGTTAATGCGGGGTACTGTTAATACCTTTTTTCATAGGTTCAATTCCTATTGATACCTTTACTGATAATGTTTAACCCTGGTCCACAAAATAAAAGAGTAAATAATTAAAAAAATAAAAAAATAGGGTATTTGGTCGAGCTGGTCTATGGCACTCGTCTTGAAAACGAGAACTTCTAACAAGGAGTCGTGAGTTCGAATCTCACAGTGCCCGTATAACAAATATAACAATAAAAGCCTATAATTTAATGGTTAGAATGATTTCTTGATAAGGAATTAGAAGAAGTTCAAATCTTCTTGGGCTTATACCCACGAGATTACGGTGCTCCACACTATATTGGTAAAAGAGACATCGATAATAAGAGTAAAATTTAACCGGAAAAATAAAAAAAACAATATAGCCGAAAGCAGTAAAAAAAATCAAATATAAGTGTGTAAAAAACCCGGAAAATAAAAAAACTATAATTTAATGGCTAGAATACTCTATTAACCAGAGTAATGGAGGTTAAAATCCTCCTAGTTTTTATTAACACCCCCGGAGTGGGTCGAGTTTATAATTTGTTCTCAGCGCTCCGCGCCCTTAAAAATAAATTTGTGTCTAGTGTATTACCATTTAATATTCATTAAAATAAAAGATAGGGCTAAAAACTGCAGGCTGGTTTATGTCTTTAACTTCACAAATTGGAGTAATAACATAAGATCAGAGTCATCCCACAAAATTATAGTGCAAAGCACAGTATTTTTTAAAATTAACTTAAACTCTTGCGCAAGCGCTTTATTCCTTTCATTTTAGGATTTTAACCCTTACTAATTTGAATTATGTAAAATAAAACAATAAAATAAAATAAAACAATAAAAAAACCTTTTGTTTAATCTAAGGTATATAAAAAAATAACTTTATATAAAAGTTAGTTATAATAAATTCAAAGTCTAATAGTTACTTTAGTTTAATTACTATAAGTCTATTAAAATAGCTTAGCAAGCTTTATAGAGTAATCTATTTACAGCGCTTGCGCCCGATAATAGAAGACTTAAAACGAACGGGAAATTGTTCAAGCCGAAAGGCAAAATAAAATAAAAAAATATGAGATTATTAAAATCGCAATCTATTTTAAGATTAGTTAATTCTTATGTAGTAGATTCACCTCAGCCAGCAAATTTAAATTACATGTGGAATTTTGGTTCTTTATTAGCAACTTGTTTAATTCTTCAAATTTTAACTGGTGTGTTTTTAGCTATGAAATAGTGCGTAGCTGTAAAATCTCACTATGTGCTGGGAACTCCTAAAACTTTAAGTACTATAAATTGCAACACTGGCTTGATTGCGTTTTATCGTTCAAACTGTGTCCATTATAATGTGACAATCTTAAAGATATAACAATGGACAATCAGCAGGGAACCAACGGATATTTAATAATCCTAGTAGGATCCTCAGAGACTATACGTGAGATATTAATTTGTATAAATTAGTAATGATATAGTCCGACCTTCTTCGAAAAATTAAGGGTTTTTAGCCGATTTGTTGATTATTTGTTTTCCGATTTGTTGCCCTAAACAAAATAAAAAAACTTGTGGTATAGCTAATTCTAGATTAAATAACAATCAATCAAAGAAAAAACATACTTTAAATCCTAATTGGGTTACAGGGTTTTGTGACGCGGAATCTAGTTTTACAATAAGCATTGTTAAATCCAAAACTACTTCTATAGGTTGAACTGTTTCACCTTGTTTTATAATAACCTTACACTTGAAAGACTTAGAGTTATTAAAAACGATAAAAACTTTTTTAAAGGAGTAGGTTCTATAAATATCTCTGGTAAATCTGTGCATTATAAAGTTAAATCAAGAAAAGATCGATCTTTTAATTATTATTGAACATTTTAATAAATACCCTTTATGTACGTCTAATTTTATTAGTTTTATGTATTTTTCTAAGGTTTACGAACTAATAGGGCAGAAATTACATACTAACGTAAAAGGATTTCTCCTGTTAGCCTCGTTTGTTAATAAACTAAATAAGCCTTTATCCGCTTCATTGAGCAAACGTTTATCTGCATTAGGAGTTTTACCAGCTGTAGAACTAGAATTCCCAGTAATAAATAGAAATCCTAGTCTAAATTCGTTCTGAGTATCAGGATTTGTTACAGGTGAAGGGTCTTTTACTAATTTTACAAGAACTAGAAAAAATACTCAAAATGAAACAGTTAAAGATTTAACTTTAGTAATGGAAGTATCTCAAGATAGTAAAGACGGCTACATTTTAATCAAAACTATTTTGGGGTAGGAAAAGTTTATCAAGAAATTATAGGTATTACTAAATATAGATTAGTAGTTAGAGAAGAAATATAACTAAACTACCCCACTTTAATGATCACCCTCTTGGCGGTAACAAATTACTACAATATACTCTCTGGGTTAAAATAGCTCAGGTTTTAACAGCAAAACCTAAAAGAAGTCAAGAAAGAGATAAAACAATTGAAATTTTAATTAGAGATCTTTCAAATTTATCTAACAAAATCGGAAGGTAAACGGCACTATACACCCCATGTAGATTTTGCTTTCAATTCGGTCGAACATGAAACCGCTGTGACAATTGATCTAGGTATAAATAATTTAACTAACGGTGTTGGTGAGATAAGCCTTACTGATTTAGGCTAATACTCTATTAATTTTAACAGTTTCTTTTTCCAAAATTAAAAAGGTCACTTCGACTAAAGGTAATGGTAAAAACTATTCTACTATTCTACTATTCTACTATTAATAATAACACAGAAATACTTAATTCTAATTCTAGCAATACTTCAGAATTAAGCTATCATGATTTTATTGATTGGTTAGTAGGATTTACTGACGGAGACGGATCATTCAGTATAGTCAAACAAGGTAAAACTACTTTCACTTTTGTATATTCTATTTATCTTCACAAAGACGATACACCGCTTCTAATAAATATTCAAAAAAGATTGTGCATGGGAAAAGTTTATGAAGGTAAACATTTTTCTAGTTTTACTATAACAAAAAAAAAAGAGGAAGTTAGAAAACTGATTTCTATATTTAAAGATCATCCATTTAACACAAGTAAAAATCTTAATTTTTCGTGTTGGGCTGAAGCCTTTGAACTATACACTAATAAAATTGGCGTAATCAATGTAACTCCAAAAATACTTAGTCTTAAAAATGAAATGAATAAAAAAAGAATTAAATTTATTCAACCAATTGGTCATACTATTAAAGTTTCACCTTATTGGTTTTTAGGTTTTGTTGAAGCGAAGCAGGCAGGTTTCTTTTTCAGTTGCAAAAAATAAAAGTTTTAGATTAGCATTTAGTATAGGTCAAAGTGAAAAAGCAGTAATACTAGCAATAAAAGTTTTTTTATTAAATTTACCAGGCCATTACAGATTACTAAAGGTGTTAAGTAATCCTGTACAGTTTGTATTGCAAAGTAAAGCAAAAATGTAAATTCTAACCCTATGGTTACAGTTTCCGTTTATCTAACTAGTTATATATCTAATGTATTATTACCCCTTTTTGATAATTTAATTTGGCAATCTAAAAAAAACAAGATTATCTTGATTGGAAAACAGTATTAACTTTAAAAAGTAAAGGTTTACATTTTACTCAAGAAGGGATTGAAGTTATTAAACTTATCTGTAATAGAATGAATAATAATAGATTATCTACACTAATAAAAATGATAGTATATTAGATTCAGATCTTAATTCTAGAATAACTTTATTATTAGAATCTCCTTCTAATTATGAAGTACATCCTAATGGTAAAATATTTATTAAATCTTTAGGTAAATATCTAAAAGGTAGAGGAGAAGTACAAGATAAAAATGATTTATTAGTGAATACTTTTACTTCTATTAAAACCTGTGCATCCAATTTAAATATTCCTGAAAGAACTTTAAGTGCCAAATTAAATACTGGAGCTACGATCTTAATTGAAGGTAAACCTCATTACGTAAAAAGAGTTGCTACCTTACCTGACTCCTAAAATAGTTAAAATTACAAATAACCCCCTTTATAATAAAAGTTAAAATATCTCATCTTCTACTTTTTTAGACCTTAACGCTGCTAACCTTTAGTGTTTGCACTAGTGGTGTGTATATAGTAGCAAGGCCTAAAAGGCAGAGTGGGTATACCATAGATACTATCTCCGCCTAAATTAATTTTTAAGGCGAATGTGTTCGTAAAACTTCGCTATATGCTGGAACATCCTTAGAGCTTTTGGTACTTGATGTGAATCAAATTAAGTGACAAACCAATAAGATTGGGCAATCAGCAGGGAACCAAATCTAACTAACAGAGAGTAGGGTCCTCAGAGACTACACGCGAGGATATTAATAATAAAACCTAAAATAAAAATTATTGATATATGATATAGTCCGATCTATCTTGAAAATGATAGACAACATGTTGAGTAATTTAATCGGTCTTTGTTATGGCTTATTTAATTTAAAAAAAAGAGACAGCCAGTATTAAACTTAAAGCTTCCTGTTACACTTACCCCTGATATGTTGCATGTAGACTTAGCTAAAGCTTTTTCAACAAGAGTACTATCAATTTGGGTCTATGAAAATGGTGTTTTGTTGGACGATAGTCCCTTTTCAACCTTTACTTCAGCTATGGAAGCTGTAGGTTATTCTAAAAATAGTGTGGCAGCAAGAAGAAGTATTGATACTGGTAAATCAATAGGTGGCAGATATACCTTTTACTCAAAACCACTAAAATAATTTAATCTCTCGCGGGACCCTTGCTGTCTCTTAACAAAGATAAATTAAAAAGTGGACATGTTTATAACACTACATGATTATGAGAGACGTAAATTCAGGTTATATCGTTAGATATACACACGCAAACGTCGCTTCTTTCTTCTTTATTTTCGTATACGCTCAATAAATTAATTTTTATAACAAATTTTATAGTCAAGTTACTAGTGTTTATTTAGTTGTGGAGCAGTTAAAAATAATTTCTAAAGTATATTAACACCCCAAACTTTAGGCCTTAAAAAGCTTAAAAAGCTTAAAAAGCTTAAAAATAAAAAAATAACTCAGTAAAATAGACCAACTGTCCCTTGTAGTTCGTGGGGCCAGTATAAGATAAAAAATTAGTGGGCCTATTTATATTTATTTCTACTAAATAGTATGAATAGCAATTAGCTATATGCTGGGAACTCCTTAAAACTTTAAGTACTAATGTGACAATCTTAAAGACTGGACAATCAGCAGGAAACCAACGGAAAACTCCAAGTAGGCTCCTCAACGATCACACGCTAATACTCTGTAATTAATATTATTTATGTAAGAAAGTAGTTTAATTTAACATTATTTATAGAGTATGATATGATCTGAACTTAACTGAAAAGTTAAGAAGTAATCTTTATTTTAAAATACCTCGGGATTACTTTTTGGTTAAAACCTTTTGGGTAGATCAAAATAACAAATAACATATAGCACATTGCAAGAGGTTTATTCTATAGTTCATATAGAACACCCAGAGCTTTAGTATGGAGTATTGGAG